AATGAGCAAGCAGAAGCAGTATTACTAGGTGCTAGATTATCTAACTACGAATTTCCGAGCCAGCGCTGTCTTAAAATACGGGACACATGGCACTGCTCGAATATCGCGAACGCTCATTGAAGCGCGAATATAAAGCTTCATTGAAAGCTCATGCTTTTTCTGGGAAAGTTGGTATTTGTAGAGTCTTAGAACAATGCGAAAACTCGGAGGTTCATTATTCTGTTAAGACAGTCTTATTTCTACAGATGAATTTCGCTGAGTAGTCTATTTTCATTATCATCTCCTTCTCCAAAATAGTACATTCATTGATTTCTTCTTAAAGAATATGTATGTCAAAAAGATAAATTAACGTATTGTAGTGATAAACTTTGCGGAACACAAAATAAGTATGAATCAGTCAAGAGAGATCGTTTCGCAAATCAATTTTGAAGCGGTCATAGATTGAAATTTAAGTCAATATTCTTCGAGCAAGCAAAGGCTAACATATCAAATTTTGAAATTTTTTATGTGATAAAAACGTTTTGATTATTTTAATATCTACTGTGACATTATCCGTAAACGTTACGTTTTAGTGATTTTAAATTAAATGTGTCACAGATTTAAGAATCATATACCTTCCACTTGTGGAGCTAACGCAAAAACGCCTTGTGAATGATTTTTCAGGAAAGTGGTATTTATTTTAGGCACAAAAAATACGACAACGCAAATAAAAATAGCCATAAAGGCAGTCCATTCTTAGGGTTCGAATCCTGGTCGAATTATCTACAAGTATATCCGTATCCATTCAGAGTCATGGAGGTAGGATGTAAGATGGAGTGGCCCTAAACATGTTTTTCCCGTACCCTGCTCTGAAGCACTGGCGATCCCTACGTGGTGACCAAAACATTGGATCATTTACCATTAAGTTCAATGGGTTTTGACGCGATCGGATGTAAATATTTTGTAATTACGTCGTAAATATACATATAAATGTATATATTTTCTTTTTCTACAACACTTCAGAGTCCTAAGTATATGAAAACAACATATTTTTAAACAACATTTAATTCTGAACGGAATTAAATGCTATGCTTTTCACAGAACAGTTTTCTCAGAATGGTTTAATTTGAATGAAATATTTTCACAAGTTTTCGTTAATTACATTAGAAAAAATTAAGGTAATTCGATTTTATTCGGTTAAGGTACAAAATTCAGAATCAAAAATAAGTTAAGAAATTAATTGTACAAAAATTAAGATCAACATTAATTAATACAATCATAACATTAATATCGAGGGCCATAATTAGATTACGTTTCCGTATGTCCGCTAGGGGCGGGGCTAAGCGGGCCATCTTGGGTCAGAGCGTTGCGCAGCTCAGTCTGCATCTAGCCGTGCTATGAGAGGTTCGTGCTGTCTCCGTTAGATACTGTGACGGTTTGAAATGTTGCGTTATTGAAAATCCCGCGAGCTGCGAGGTGCGCTCAGTAATAAGTTTCTGATGCAAAAACTGTAAACCGATAGAATCTATCGGCAGCTTCGTGAAGTGTATGGGGAACATTATCACTGAAGGTGGAGTGCGTCTGGGTCATAAATTTCAAAATGCCGAACCAATGTTCACGACGAAGATCGAAGTGGAGACCCAGCATAGTGACCGCCGAACTTTCTCGAAAAGTCGATGCTAAATTCCGTGAAAATCGAAATTTCACAATAACGGAACTTTCTTTGAGTTTTCCACAAATCGCGAAGTTTGTTGCAAAAATCATCAGCGAAAAGCTTGGTTACCACAAGTTTTGTGCAAGAGGATCCAAAAATCTTGACAGAGGACACAAAAATCAGCGAATGGCTGCAGCGTTGAACTTTTTGGACGCTTACCATAAGGATGGTGACTCTTTACTCGATCGCATCGTACTGGTGACGAAACATGGGTGAAACTGTGAACTTGAAACGAAATTGCAATCAATGCATGGGGGCAACGTTCTCCCCAAAAACCCAAGAATGCATGCAAAAATGTCGCAAGGAGATGATGGCGACTGTTTTTTGGGACAGAAAAGGTATTTTTGGTGGACTTCCTGAAAAAGGCACTACAATAAACTCTCAAAGTATGCCAAACTTCCAAAAACTCAGAAGGCAATTCAAAACAGCGCAGGAATGTTGAGCTCTAAGATCTTGTTGATTCACGACAACGCCCGGCCCCAACGGCAAATGTCACTTAAAGTTTTTGAATCTTTTAAGTGGGAGTTGTTTCCTTCGCCGTACAGTCCCGACCTGCACCGAGCGACTTCCACCTATTCCCAGCAATGAAGAAGTGGTGGCTATGCAGCGTTTTGATGACGAACGCACAGGCTGCAAGAAGAGGTACGAATGGTTTAGCGCAGGCGGCCGAATTTTTTCGACGAAGAATTTCCAAGCTCGTAATCGCTACGATAAATGCCTTAATTGTATGGTGACTATGTAGAAAAGTAGTATTTGAGTGTGGCTTTCATCTGTATATAATAAATTTGTTTTCCTATACTTTGTTTATTTTTTTTTAATTTTAATTATACTCGTACTATCAGATTTTTTTTACCCTTAATTTCAACAATACATATTCCAAAACTCTTTGATAACATTTATAATCATTATAAATTAGATACATTAATAATTAGATTTCTTCACAGTAAACTTTCACAGTTGTTTATAAACGAATAAATTCTTCATTTCATATACATTTATAAATAATTTAATGAATATTTATGTATTTTGTTAAAGGCAGATACATGCTTTTTGCAAGCACATGCATAAATACCCTTTAATCTTTAATTTCTGTTCATTCACTATATTTTTCGAGTAAAGTAATTTACACTAATTTAGCATACACCCGAAAGTTTTACATAAAAAATATATACGAATATAATTTGAATGACGGATTGCAGCATTTGATGGTAATTTTATTTTTAATTAACCCAAATAAGTAAAACGTGTAAGCCCAAAGTGATTATTTTTCAGATATATAAAATTAAAACGATGAGTTTAAAATGAGCAGCAGTAAAGCCTCTCCTCTAAAAATTTTAAAAGGTACATGTTACAATAATATATAAATGTGAAAAAAAAATTATTTTATTTAAAACATATTGTCGTTTGGAACATAAAATAAAAGTAGCGAATACTCTATCAAGGGTATCGAAAGACGTATACAATTTTAAATGTACCGTAAGGTATTTTTCATTCTTTAAGCATAACATTTTTGTTAAAATCTATATTTTTGTAGTTCATAGCTTAGAATTTTATAAAACAAATTCTTAATCAAAATCGCTGTTGTTAGTTATCGAAAAAAAAAACCAAGATGTGATTTTTGCGTAAATGTCACTAAACTATACAAATTGCTATTATCCATCACACTATGAATGTTTTTTTTTCATGCGAAAGTGTCCCTTTTTCGATTTGTATAGAACTGCCGTGTGTCGAAATACTATCAGAACACTGTCAAGCGAGCTTCTGAATGTAAACAAAGAACACCCCATCTAGTGACCGAAGCTTCGAAGCAGTGCTCCACTTTTAGTGCCGGTTGGCCACTTCCTTCCTTTCTTACCTCCATGATTCAGAGTTGGTGGGCCAAACTTTCTTTGACCAAAAAAATTGAATACTGCAATAAACGATTATACTTTTTTCCCAATAAACTTTTTCGATGTGATCTTCAAGAAGTTGCAGACTACATAGCATGAAAAACAAATATAATGCATGGAATCAAATCATGTGCCTAATGTGTTTAGACAACACACATTCAAAACTTTCAATTTAAAACTGTGCAAGAAGTTGATTATTGCACTTAAATGATCACATTTGTTCAATATCAGAGCCCTGAATAATTATTAATTGTAAAATAATTAATTATTGCATTTTTATAATAACTGATCACCAAAATATTGAAAATTTACTACTTACTCTGGTATATATATTTCAATACTAAACGAGAACTTATGAAAGTCTTACAAATAAGCATACGGACTTGATCTTTATTATTTTAATGTTAAAACTTAAAATTATACAGTATTTAATTAAGATAATATTAAGGCATATGACTTATTCAATTGTAGTTCTCTCTTTGCCTTTCAATGTTAAAGAAAAGTTTTAATTCGTTAAAATATTTTGTTATTTAAGAACGTGATAAAAAGGGAGGACAAAGAAGCTATATTTTTCCACTATAAAATATATTAGGTAGGGAAAAACAATCTAAATTTCAAACTTTCATAACTTTTGCATATTGCCAAACTTTTTTGAATTTATTGGTGTTAAACGTGCATTAAAAAGAATTTTAATTTAGTTTTACATCAAAATTCGTTATGTTCACTTCAAACTATCCACTTTCTAATATTTGATTATTTATCCTTCATATTCTCAAACCAGAGATTGAAAGAACTTTACTTAAATTAATTAATTCTCATGTTTTATTACTTAATTAAAAATTCTCATATTTTAATTAACAGCTTATCTACTTCAATTATTACATGCTTGCTACTGATGTTTAATTATTACGAGAAATTCTAATTTTCTAAGGATTATAGTTTTTAGAGAATAGTATTACAATATATAATTTATACAAATGATCTATTTTTGGTAATTTTAAACTTTTTTCATAGAGACAACAAAAAAAACTGAAATAAATTTAAAATTTGAAATAAAAGTGCTTAATAATTATTTAATGATACTGTGAGTTTAAGTTTAATATGCCTAACACCAATATAGTCCTTAAAACAAGTGTATAAAGTAATAGAACTCTAGGGTGGAAACTACAGTTGTTTTGATGATGACGATGGGTACTACCAATTAGCAACATGCTAAAAAATTCCTTCTAATTTTTGATAAATAATATTAAAATTACACTATCAAAAATGATCGTAATCTGAGAATCTAAATCTTCTTAAATAGGTTGTTTTGGATGCAAGTTATTTTTAAGTAAATTTTCAAAATTATTTTCTTTGCTTTTGAATTATAACTAAATTTTTAAAATTTCATTGATTCATTTTAATCGCAAATAACTTACTTCTATAAATAACACGAAGCAGAAAAGGAAGAAGGGGAATATAATTGCTATGCCCATCATTCACAACTCAGTAAACAAAACCGCTGGATCAAGCACTGAATGCTATATTATCAGGAAGTTAAATTCATAAAGCATCTGGCAGAACACCTGTAAACGGCTCATTTCTTCACACAAGAATTATCAAACATTGAATAAAACGCAGTTTTGGTTTTACTTCCTTTATTTTTCTTATTCAGATTTCTTTAATTTTAGTTTTTTTAAACATTAAAATTAGTTTTAAATTGTGCCAGCATATTAATCTATGTAATGTTTTTATTATTATTCTTGCAGTTGCATTTTCGCTAGAAAAAATTTCCGAAATATTCATTTTAGTATAAATTCGCACTCCTTGCTAGTGATTACGATTTTTGAAAGCGAAATTTCTGTTTTAAATCTGAAAAAAAAATAAATAAATACGGGACAGTTACATTGATCATACTAGTTGTTTCTCTATTTCCAGGTCGTTCTGTTTCTTTTCAGCTTCTCCAGAAGTTTTGTAAATTTCATTTGTATAAAAGTAAGGTTAAATATTGCAGTTTCTTAATTAAAATTTATACCGAATCCTAGCAAGACATATTTGGTGGCGAAAGCTATCCTTACTCTACTGGATGACTGTTTCTCGGCTTCTAGTCTTTCGTGACTCTAAGATCGCGAGTTTAGAGGTACGTGTGATTTTAAATGAGCAGAATTCTAGCCGTCTAGCTAGTTGAATATTTAATATTGTGAATTATGAAAGACCGTAGATCAGTTACATCTTTCTTTGCAAGTTAGCGAAACCTTCCCGTTTTGAATTAAACATTATTTAAATAGACTAGATATAAAGTATACGCAATGCATTACTCACAAGTCCTTAGTATAATCGACTGCCATGTCTACCACTTTCTGCCGAATTTTAGTAGGAGATATAGTGTACCATCAACCCGTCTACTTCTGTTGATGCTCCACAACAACCGTCCCAAAGCACATACAACCTCCTCTTTACTGTAATCGTATAATATAATCTCTCGCAGTGATTCTGTTAGAAGAACTGGATATTTTTGCATAACGAGTTTGCACTGCAGAGTTCGCAGTTTTCGAGTAATAAAAAACTGACAAGCTCAATGCCATTCCGGACTTATCCTGCAGCATGCAACGTACCTAACAGGTCGAACTGATATATCTAAGATGACTGTGTTGCGAGTTATATGTAAATGCTTTACACATTTAATTTATAGATTACTTTTAATGTTTTTGAAATTATTAAGATTGTTTTCATACTCAGAGCAGTAAGCATAAGCAGAGCAGTTTTCTTAAAAGACAAAAAAAAAAAATCTAATGTGGACACCACATGACACTTGTACGGCCTATTAAATTATACACACCTCTTGCTGCACTTCATTTAAACCTTATTTCCTCGAATTTTATTAAAGATATATTTCTCATTCAATCAATTCAGTTCTCACTTCGCGGCAAGGCAAAAAGGAATAAAAACTCAAAACATCTTCATTAAAAGTTGTAAAATACAGAAAAAAACTAAAATACCAAATAAAGTTAAAAGCAATTTAAAAAACCAGTTTTTTGCAATTGAAATTAGAGTTTCTAGGCAAAGCAAGCCATTTGGCCAGCGGACAATATTTTCGGGGCACAAAACTGAAAGTTAACTTTTGGTCCCAATACGCAGAAAGATACTGAAGTTGGTGCACCAACTGACTTAATTCACTATTCTACTAAGAGTTTCAAATGTAAACAAATGTCGACGTCGTTAGGCCTAGTGACATTCAAACTTTTAAACTGTTGAAAATTCTATAACCACTATACACAAATTAATTAAAGGCACAAAATCTTTTACCGGATCATAAGAATATCTTAATTTAACCACTTTTAAAGCAAAAACTGAAAAAATTACCAATATATAAGAATAAAAAACTGACCTCACCAAACCAAGTAATAGATTGGAAATACATATAAATAGTATATATAAGTTTGGTATAACCGATAATATACATATTTATATATGATTGGAGCAGCCGATTGCAACGAAAAAGGGGGATGCACAGCTGCGTGTGCAGAGCCCCGTGTACAAAATTTCAACGTTCTACGGCTACTCATTCTTGGGTTACGCGTGATAAATACAATCGTATGTACAGACGTCAAGGAAAAAAAATCTCTTCTAAATCCATTTTTCAATCCTTCTTGGCAAAAACAGTGTTTTATTCTGTTTGAGTGTACAGATGCCACGCAAAAGTATTGTTCAAATGGTTTCGAGAGCGGTCGAAACGGATAAATTCGTTGAAATATGATACCCGAAATTTTTTGAGATTACAATACTTCCTTCACTTCGTCAAGGAAGTGAAAGGAGATTTCGTTCTCGTGTTCAGAATTCATCAGCGCACCTAAATTGGAACGAAAATGCGAGCCCACCAGTGGCCGAGCGGTAAAGTCGCTGAACACTGGGTAGTTCGGTCCGAAGTTCGAATCCCGCGAACGAACTGGCTGCATGGGCGTTTTCGTGGTTTTCCCCATTTGTAACTTGTGTACGAACCAGTTTCCCTTAGAAAGTCCTCCACGAAGGCATCCCTCCCCTTAGACAGATAGTCCTCGAGGCTTTGCCATTATCACACACACACACATGGAACGAAAATGCCGAACAAGCCTTTATTGTGAATAAAAATGCCATTGCTTTTGAGACACGCTATTCCCGGACCCCAGTCAAGCGTCTGGGTAGATGCTTCAGACGTCGCAATAAGCGACACTCTCATGCAGTTGTATCACGAAATATGAGAACTTATAGCATTTATCTCTATGAAACTCAATAAAAGTGAACAATGGCTATTCTCTGTCCGCGTACGACAGAGAATTATTTTTAATTTATTCTGTGATTGAGAAATTCCTACACATGTTAGAGGGCAGAAATTTTCGAATTTATGTGGATCAAAAACCGTTAATATACGCTTTTAAGCAGAAACCCCAATAATGTCCACCTCGGCAATTACACCGTTCAGATTTTATTTCACAGTATTCTAATGATATTAGGCGTGTGGCAAGGTTCTAAAAACGTAGTTGCTGACGCTCTTTCGAGGATAGAAATTGATTCCATAACAAAATCTCCATTTTTGGAAATTAAAAAATTTTCCGAAGCTCAACAGCATCAATCAAAGCTACAAAACCTTTTCAAAAACAATACATCGTCTTTGAAGCTGGAATTCAAGCCATGCCAATACTCTGGCAATATTCTTTGTGACATTCTCACAAACATTCTTCGTCCATTTGTTCCGAATTCCTTTCGAAAACTCATCATTAATCATCTGCATAATCTATAACATCTAGGAACTGCAGCTATAAAGAAACTCATTTATTCTCGATAGCAAACGTCATATCAAAAATTAGGTGTAATCCTGGGAATCTTCTCAGAGATAGAAAATAACTAGGCACACTTAAAAGCACCACTGGGTACATTCTCATTTCCCTATGCACGTTTTTCAGACGGCCCATTACCTACATCAGAAGGCAATATGTAACTTTTGACTCTAATAGATAGAGTTTCCAGATGACCAGAAGCCATTCCTATCCCCGATATGAAAATGGAAACTATTTGTAGAGCTATTTTCAACTCATGGATACCTTGCTTTGGCTGCTTTTCGGTCATAACAGTAGACCAAGATTCTCAAATGAGATCCGCAATATTTGCAGAATTTACGTGCATTTTGGATATAAACAGAATCACAACGACAACCTATCGATGTCAAATGGCACTGTTGAACGATTTTTTTATCGCGATTTTTTTAATTTTTTTTAATAATAATGAATGTTAGCGTATGAATTTATTTATGGAAATATACATTTAAAGTAAGCACATACATTTAAAATTAAAGCATAATTTAATATAGTATTAGATTAGAAATAATAAAATAATAATAACCACTTCTAAAATATTTAAATACAAAAATGAATAATTATGAAACGAAAAAATTTGTACGAAATCGAGGAATTGTATGCAAGGCATACTGCAGAATAAGAATTTCAAGAAATAAACAACAGCAAAAACTAATTCTCAAATAGTAAATTTACGCTTTGTAAAATTTAGATAATTTGAACTTACTTCGTAGTTCACTTTGTTTTTCAAAAATTATTCAGATAGTTTGAACTTACTTTGTAGTTAACTAGGATTTAAAGTAGGATTGATTTTCTATGAATGAATTTCGCCAGCACCCTAAACATTTGCTTCACCGCATACCTTACTTCGAATTGAAAGTCGCCTGAGCCGAGCAGTGCTGGTTTACATTGATCTATGAGAGCTTGCCTTCTTCTCTTAGTTATCTTCAGTTCATCGCTTACTGCTATAGGTGAAGCAGTAGTGAACTCACCTCGCTCCGGTCGTGCAATAAATACCCAGTGGCGTAGCTAGGGTGGGGCAAGGGGGGACATCTGTCCCCGGGCGCAGCATCCAAGGAGCGCCAAATTCATGCTACGAAATATTTTAATGAAACGTTTTCCATTCTTGGCACACAGAAAGGAGCGCAAATTCTTCAATTGTCCCCAGGCGCTGGAAACTCTAGCTACGCCCCTGGCAATACCAGCTGATTTTCCTCGCGACCTACCATGCAAGTTACTAACATAGATACCGTCCTTTGATTGATTATGTCCTGTGACTCACATCTGATATTTATTGTTTTTATCTGTATATATGTGTTGAACTAATATTTATATTAATCTAATTAAAGTAGCAGACGTAAAAACAGGTGTCATCTTTATCCTTGCATAAACACACATCTCTATAGAATGATGACCATACAATCTCTCCACTACTGTAAAACTCCACAAACAGAATTAAAATTATTAATCTTTCTCCAACAAATAATACCAGCTCTCTTTGTATTTGTTCAGCAGCTAAAGTTAAGAACTGTATCACTCAAGGGAAAAATATGTTGCTTTTACCCACTTCAAAGGTTTAATAAGGAGAATTTTTTTCATCAGCTTCTTACTGCATAAGGCATGAGTTACAGTCAAGACACTTTGTTACCATATGCATTCTGTGTGGGTCCTAAGTTCTAAAAAGTTCTTCTTGTCATTCCTAAA